GCACATTTCCACTCAGATAAATAGGCGGTGGTGGGGGAGGCCAGCGGTGGACGGACTGGGCAAGCAGAGAGGACCGCCATTGCTCCCTTTCTGATCCCGCCCCCACATACAGTGTCACAAACCAGCGACGTAGGTGGCCCTACCTTGGTAAACAACTAAGACTCCGCCCCACATATGTAACAGGCACAAACAGATAAAAACATGGCTAAAGAACAACTCAGAGCCCCGGAGCCAATAAATCTAAGTGATGAAGAAATACCCAAACTTTCAGATGCACAGTTCAAAACACTGATGATCAGGATCCTCACAGAACTGGTTGATTTTAGTCACAAATTAGAGGAACATATGGAAGGTAAACTAATTGAAATGAATGGTAATGCACAGGAAACCAATAGTAATGGAAAGGAAACTGGGACTCAAATCAAGGGAGTAGACCAGAAGGAAGGAAAAAATGACCAAACAGAAAAGAATGAAGAAACAAGAATTCAACAAAATGAGGAGAGGCTTAGGAATCTCCAGGACATCTTTAAACGTTCCAACATCCCAATTATAGGGGTACCAGAAGGGGAAGAGGAACAGTCACGAGTGAAAACCTTATTTGAACAAATAATAAAAGAGAACTTCCCCGTTCTGGCAAAAGAAATAGACTTCCAGGAAATCCAGGAAGCTCAGAGAGTCCCAAAGAAGTTGGACCCAAGAAGGAACACACCAAGGCACATCATCATTACATTAGCCAAGATTAAAATGAAGGAGAGAATCCCAGAAGCAGCAAGAGATAAGAGGACTGTCACCTACAAAGGAGTTCCCATCAGACTGTCAGCTGATTTCTCAAAAGAGACCTTACAGGCAAGAAGGGGCTGGAAAGAAGTATTCCAACTCATGAAATCCAAACACCTACAACCAAGATTGCTCTATCCACCAAAGTTTTCATTTAGAATGGAAGGACAGATACAGTGCTTCTCAGATAAGATCAAATTCAAGGAGTTCATTATCACCAAGCCCTTATCATGTGAAATGTTAAAGAGACTTATCTAAGAAAAAGAAGATAAAAAAGATGAACAGTGGAAGGACAGCAAACTCACAGTTATTAAGAACCACACCTTAAACAAAAGCAAACTAAGAGGACAGACAGCTAGATCAGGAGCAGAACCATAGAAATGAAGATCACATAGAGGGTTAGCAACAGGGGAGTGGGAAAAGGAGAAGGGGGGAGAAGGTACAGAAAATAAGTAGCATAGACAGTAGATAGAAAATAGGGGGAGAGTAAGAATAGTAGGGGAAATACAGAATCTAAAGAACCTGAGACACATGTTCATTAACTAAAGGGGGGGGAGGGGTATGCAGGGTGGAGGGGAACAGAGGGGGGAAATAGAACAAATGTAATGGCATAATCAATTAAATAAATTAATTAATTAAATAAAACCCTGTGGTGTTTTTTCTTTTTTTTTTAATTTTATTTAGTTATTTTTCAAGTACAGTTTTTTGTCCATTTCTCCCATCCCAGCCCCCCCTGCCCCGTCTCCCCACCTCCCTCCCATTTCCACCCCCCAGTCCTCATTCCTGTGTCTTTCATACTTGTTCCTCAAAATCCCTCCCCATTTTTGCCCTTAAATTCCCTTCCCTCTCCCCTCTGATCACTGTCCCCTTGTTCTCTATTTCAGTGTCTTTGTTTTTATTCTGCTTGCTTGTTTGTTTTGTTGTTTAGCTTCCTGTTAAAGGTGAGATCATATGGTATTTGTCTTTCAACACCTGGCCTATTTCACTCAGCATAATGCTTTCCAGTTCCACCCAAGTTGTTGCAAAGGGTAGTAGCTCCTTCTTTCTCCCTGCTGCATAGAATTCAATTGTGTATATGTACCACAATTTTTTGATCCATTCATTTACTGATGGGCACCTAGGTTGCTTCCAACTCCTGGCTATTGTAAATTGTGCTGCTATGAACATTGTGGTGCATAGGTTCTTTGAAATTGATGTTTTAGGATTCTTGGGGTATAATCCTAGCAATGGAATTGCTGGGTTAAAAGGCAGGTCGATTTTTATTTTTCTGAGAAAATTCCATACTGTTTTCCATAATGGTTGTACCAGTCTGCAATCCCACCAACAGTGAACTAAGGACCCCTTTTCCCCACAACCTCTCCAACATGTGTTGTTTGTTTCTTTGTTTATGATAGCCATTCTGACTGGTGTAAAGTGGTATCTCATTGTGGTTTTAATTTGCATCTCTCTGATAGCTAACGATATTGAGCATCTCTTCATGTGTCTCTGGATATTCTGTATGTCCTCTTTGGAGAAGTGTCTGTTCAAGTCCTTTTCCCATTTTTTAATTGGTAAAACCCTGTTTTTGCTCATCAGTTTTCATTAGTGTTTGTGTATTTAATGTGTGGCCCAGACAACTCTTCTTATTCCAGAGTGGCCCAGAAATGCCAAAAGGTTGGACACCCCTTTAGATCAAAGTAATATGTCATAGTCAAAATATTAAAATATCTCAACCTAAATGCACAGAAACAGAAATATTTGATTATTATTTTGAGTAATAAATATTTTAAAGATAACATGGTTTCGTAGTTTTGTAGATTTTCAGATACCTATCTACTTTAAGATAAATTTATTGATATATAAGGAGTGAAGTTTTTGCTTAATTCTTTTTTCAACCTTTTTAAATGTAGTAGTTTCCCTTCCTGTCTCAGGAAAAAAACAAAGGCATAATTACTATAATTGTAGATCTACTTCATGGTTCCAGCTCTTTTCATACCTTAAAGTAATGATCACTGTATAGTGCTATAGGTGAACTATAGAAGAAATAAGAGATTAGGCCAACTATGCACTAACCCAGGCTATCCTCTGAAAATTTATTTGGAAAATATAAACATAATATTTACCACTTACCATTATCTCCAAAAAGTAGAATGCAAAAAAATTGAAGCTATTAAAAACTGTTTAGTCAAGTTCTGATTATTTATTCATTGATTCAATAAACTCCTGTTAAGTCCCTACAATGTGTACTACACTGTGTGTGGAACTGAGAATAGAATAAGAGCCTACAGGATAGTGAAGAAGACAGGCAAGTAAAGACGCTAATATAAAATGTGATAGACCACACCCAACACAATCTTCAAGGATCAAAGAAGTGTATACCAAAGTAATAGCATCCACTTTGACAGCTAAAGGACAAAGACAGAGTAACTAAGTGTGGTAGGGTATTAGTGCTCTAAGCCTGGGAACATGATGTGCAGAGGCTCTGAAATAAGAGAAAGCATGGTGAATTTAGGAAATGGAAGTATTTCAGATCTATATATGCTTTATGCTTTAATCTTTCTGCTTAAATTGTCTACACTTTAAAGCTTAAACACTATATGGACATTTTTTTCCCTTGCCTTCCAGGAGGTTCTTCCCCCATCTCATTGACAATTCCTTCTCAACCTTCTTCATTGTGTTCTCATCAGTCAGCGAGTCATTGGAATACACCAGGCTCGGCCCCTTGAAATCTCCATTCTCTATACTCACTGTCTAAACGATCACAGCCAGCTTTAAACACCATTTAGTTGATCTAACTATCAAAGTTTTCATTTTCCCTCAACATCTGACTCTTAGACCCAGTCCCTTACTCTACATCTCTATCTTGAATCTAACAGCATCTCAAAATGAGTCACACTTAAGTGACTGCCAAACTTTCAAAACACCAAACTTTTGACATTTTCCCAATAAAAACTTCTTTTCATAGTCTCCCTCAACTCAGTAAAGAGCAATTCCATTGTTCTAATAGCTCAGGCCAAAACCTTAGAGTCATCTTTAACTCTACTCTTTCTCTGATATTTATAGCAAATCTATCTGAAAATCTTATCCCCTTTATCCTAAAGACATATGCAGAATCCTATCACTCTTCGACTACCTCTGCCACTACTACTATCCTAATTTAACCCACCATCACCACTAAACTGTAATATTGAAATAGCTTAATAATTGTTCTTCCACTTTCATCCTTGTCATCTATAGTTTATTCTCAACACAGTAGCTAGAGTAATCCTTTTAAAAATATATCAGGTAACATCATTCCTCAGCTCAAAACCCTCCAATAGTTTACAATTTTATTCAAAGTAAAAGACAAATTCCTTAAGAGGCCCTTCAAGATCTCACAACCAAGATCTCCCCAACTTCCTTCATATTAACATTCCCCCTCACTCACTCTGCTTCAAACATCCTTCTTTGTCCTCAAACATGCCTAGAACATTCTTGCTTCAGGTCCTTTGCACTTGCTGTTCACCCTGCCTAAAATCCTCTTTGCTAGTATCTGTATGATTCACTCCTTTACTTCATTCAGGTCTCTTCTCAAATTTTGCCTTATCAATGGAGACTTCTTCTCAACTCCTAGTATAAAGTAGCTTCTCTTCATTCCATGACCCTTCCCCTGCTTTATTTCTCTCTTTAGTCCTTACCACTACCAAACTCAATTTTGAAAATCACAAAGAAACATACATGTTGACTATCTATGCTGAGAAATTTGAAAACCTAGGTGAAATGGACAAATACCTAGGAAAATATAATATTCCAAAAATGAACAAAGAAGCAGCAGAAAGCCTGAACAGACCACTAACAGCCCATGAAATTGAAGCACTAATAAAAAACTCCCAACACACAAAAGCCCTGGACCAGACAGTTTCACAGGAGAAACTGTACGGGAGAAAATGGAGACAACTGTACTTAAACAACAATTTAAAAATAAGAAAAAAGAAAAAGAAATGACTGATAAATAATATATAGAAAAATTAGCAAAAATTATACAGATAATTCACAGAAATATAAATTCCCAATAACATGTGAAAAATGTTTATTCAGGTTAATGTTGTTTAAAAGTTAATTTTCAGCAACCTAAAATGTCTAGGAGAGGAAGAAGAGCAAAACTGCTTCAAAACAACAAGCACTGGTAAGAGGGTTCTTATAGAAACAAAGAAACACAGATATCTGAAAATCTATTCAGTGACAAAGGTCTGGTACTGAAATACCTGTGATGGAACAATAGATGATATAAGGAGCAATCTTGCCTATATCTTTGTATCCAAGGTCCATTGCAGACAGTTTGCCAGGGAAATAGTTTTCCATGAATACATCACAAACAGCTGCAAGCGGAAGGAAGAGTTGAATATGAATAAGACTTCTTTAAAAACTGCTAAACATTCAATAAATCTCTACATTGTAAAATTATAATTTCGTTAAACAAAATTGATCCTCATCTTGTAATAGTACTGAAAATCACAGAAAAAGTAGAATTACAAATTAGATCAACATAAGAATTAGATCAACATAAGAATCTGCTTGACTGCTAGAAGTATTATTGCCAATAAAATAATGGCTCTTAAAAATTTCAGTAGATACTCTGATATTAAATGGATTCTGCTTATGTTAAATGTAAAAAATATCTAGGCTACATGGTCCACATACATTTTTCAGAACTTTAGATAAAAAATTAGACATGAGACCCAAGGTGGCACAGGAGTAAGTGGAAGCAACACTAACCTCCTCCCAACACCAAACTATAAGTACAACTAAATTATAAAAAACTCATGCTGAATAACCAACTGAACACTAGCTGGAGAGAATCCTTATAACCACAGACAGACCAAAGACACCAGAACACCAAAATCTGACTAGTAGGGAGTGCAGAGGAGGTACAAGAGGGCTGGCTAGGTTCCCATGAGTGGCAGCCATAGTCCTGAGGAATATTCCATTGGCCAGGGGGTTCCCCCTGAAAAGTGCATGGTCTAAACCTCCCCCTGGGTTCCCCAGCCTACAGCACTGGAACTGGTGAAGGAACCAAAATAATTTATGCCTGTGAAAAGCAGCCGGGTCTCTGTCCATGAGAAATAAACAGATGAAGATGCACAGACCCTCTTAAAGAACCAACATACAAAATTCCATTTGTAGACATTCACCCTGGGCTCCAGCAGAGGGAGGGCAAAGTGTAGTAAAGACATATGAGGATAGTCTGGGGCTGGTGGCCCTGGGGAGAACTGAAGGAACAGCCACTAAGATCCCTGTGCTGAGTTATTCCCCATACTGCAGGAGCCATTTTTCTCAGACAAAGCACTCCCCTCCAAGGGATATCTGCAAGAGAAGAGCAATAGCCCCACCCACAGAAATTACTCTGCCCCATCCTGTGGTATTTAAGCCCTGCTGAAGAAGTACATCAGAAGACTTTCACCCTTTGAGTCTAACAAAAGGACTGCAGGCAGAGGAAAATCTGATACTTTAGCTAACCCTCCCCTGGGCCCAGTGCTAATTAAAGCTGGCCTTGGTACACAGTCTAGTTCTTTCTGCACACAAACAGGCATAGCAGAAAAAGCCACATGCATTAGATCACTGAAAGCTCAAACTGGTTGTCCAGGGCAAATCATGGGTAGTATTTGACATATGTCTGAATCACATTCTTTGCAGGACTACCTAATAACTAGAAACAAACACTAAAGGGCAACTAAAATGTGAAGACAAAAAAAACAGCCTCCAGTGGAAAAACAAGAGAATTCTAAACAAGAAGCGCTAGATAAAAAGTAGGCAAGCAATTTTTGAATACAGACTTCAGAGGAATGATTAGGATACTCAACTGTTGTAGACCACTCTGCCTAGTTTTAGGAATTGTATCTCAATCCCTTGTGGCTAAGGGCCAGAGACAACCTTTGGAATGCCAGCAGCAGGAGGGGACAAATCCTGTCTCTGGTAGCAAATGCTGCCTCAGTTCCTCTCCCTGCCCCCAAAGCCTGGTCAGAAGTCAATGACGGGTAAGACCCCTCACAGTGAGGGGCAACCTAAGCCAGACTCGATCACTAGGGAGGCCTTCATGGAAGGACTCAGGGGGCTGCAACAAAGAGCAATAGACTCTCGCCCCCCGGATTCCTCACTCTAATCCCCTTAAGCCTGAATACCTGCTAGGACTTCCACCAAGATGAAGGCGTAGGTGGAAGAACTGTGCCTCCTCCCACAACCAAGTTTAAAAACAACAAAGTTTTAGCAACAAAAACTCAGCCAAACCACAGAAAACTGAACTATACGAAAGTCTGACAACAATGAACCCTTCACCCAAACCGGTAAGAGGGGCAGAGCCAGCACCAGAGTGGGGTCAGGCTGGAAAGAGGCACCAGACCAAACCGGGCGCGCAACCAGGCACTCCAGCAGCTGTAGGCGGATCCCAGGTGTGGAGTAGCAGGTGGACCCACAGAGAGCACAAGGTGGTGGACTCACTGAGGGCTGACCACGGTCACACATTTGCGCACAGATAAACTGGTGAGGGAATGACTGCTGAGACAGACCATGTAGGCCCCAGTGGCGGGAAGCGGCAGAAGGGACTGCAATTGTCCCTCTCTGACCCTGCTCCCACATACAGTGTCACAAACCAGTGACCTGGGTAGCCCCGCCCTGGTGAACACCTAAGGCTCAGCTCCTCATACTTAACGGGCAAGAACAGATCAAAACATAGCTCAAGAACAACTCAGAGCCCCAGAGCCAATAAATCTAAGTGATGAAGAAATAGCCAAACTTTCAGATGCACAGTCCAAACACTGGTGATCAAGATGCTCACAGAACTGGTTGATTTTAGTCACAAAGTAGAGGAACATATGAAAGCTAAACCAATTGAAATGAAGGGAAATGCACAGGAAACCAATAGTGATGGAAAGGAAACTGGGACTCAAATCAAAAGAGTGGATCGGAAAGAGGAAAGAAATAACCAAACAGAAAAGGATGAAGAAACAAGAATTCAACAAAATGAGGAGAGGCTTAGGAACCTTCAGGACATCTTTAAACAGTCCAACATACAAATTATAGGGGTACCAGAAGGGGAAGAGGAACAGCCACAAGTAGAAAACTTATTTGAACAAATAATAAAGGAGAATTTCCCCAATCTGGCAAAGGCAATAGACTTCCAGGAAGTCCAGGAAGCTCAGAGAGTACCAAAGAAGTTGGACCCAAGAAGGAACACACCAAGGCACATCATCATTACATTAGCCAAGATTAAAATGAAGGAGAGAATCCTAGAAGCAGCAAGAGATAAGGGGACAGTCACCTACAAAGGAGTTCTCATCAGACTATCAGCTGATTTCTCAAAAGAGACCTTACAGGCAAGAAAAGGCTGGAAAGAAGTATTCCAAGTCATGAAATCCAAAGACCTACAACCAAGATTACTCTATCCAGCAAAGCTTTCACTTAGAATGGAAGGACAGATAAAGCGCTTCTTAGATAAGGTCAAATTCAAGGAGTTCATCATCACCAAGCCCTTATTATATGAAATGTTAAAGAAACTTACCTGAGAAAAAGAAGATAAAAAAGATGAACAGTGAAAGGACAGCAAACTCACAGTTATTAACAACCACACTTAAAACAAAAGCAAACTAAGAGGACAGCTAGATCAGGAGCAGAACCATAGAAATGAAGATCACATGGAGGGTTAGCAACGGGGGAGTGGGAGGAGGAGAAGGGGGGAGAAGGTACAGAAAATAAGTAGCATAGACAGTAGGTAGAAAATAGAAAGGGGAGGGCAAGATCAGTATGGGAAATATAGAATCTAAAGAACTGAGACACGTGGTCATAAACTAAAGGGGGGGAATGGGGAGGGGGTGTGCAGGGTGGAGGGGAATGAAGGGGGGAATAGAACAACTGTAATGGCATAATCAATAAAATATGTTAAAAAATACCTGTTGGGGAGAGGTGCAGCTCCTTGCCTTGCTAGAGCATATCCTGGGGAAAAAATCTGGCATCACAAAGACTTGCTGATAAACCTGTGAAATCTGCTCTGCTAAGAGTGCTTTCATTCATATGATAAGTGTCCGAGAGGAAATGAGTATCTCTCCCAAGGTTTCTGCAACTCTTCCTGACAGACAGTGACTCAGACTCTGAAGCCCTCAGATATCTTTGAAGTGTTATCTACTGTTTGATCCTTGCTGCCCTATATTCCTGTGTATTACAACCCAGTAAAAGGCTATGAAGCAGGGAGCTCGGGGCCTTTTTCTCCTTGGAGAAAGTGGCCGCTGCTGGCCTTTGTTGTCCCTGAGAAACTGGCCACAGCCCACTCCTCCTCCGCAAACAGATCCTGCATGTCTCGGTCATTATTTATTCACTCTTGTCCATGGCACTCGGAGGGACTCGAGAAGAAGTCGCCCCCACACTCAACAGCATGAAAAAAGACACAGAAACCATTTAAAAAAGACCAGTCAAAAATAAATAATTCAAGATTTGAAATAAATAATGAACTGGAAAGAAAACACACTGGGTCAGATGAAGCAGAGGATTAGATCAGTGATTTGGAAGACAAGGTACTGTGGACCGCTCTGCCTGGTTTTGGGAATTGTAACTCTACCCTTTGTGGCTAAGAATGAGCAAGTGACCTCTGGAATGCAAGCCACAGGAGACAAAGCTTGTCTCTGATAGCATATGCTGCCTCAGTTTCCTCTCCCCACCCCCAAAGCATGGTCGGAAGTCAATGATGGGTAAAACCCCTCACAGCGGGGAACAACCTAAGCCAGACTCAATCACTTGGGAGGACTTCATGGAAGGACTTGGGGGGCTGCAACAAAGAGTGAGCAATGGACTCTTGCCCCACCGCTATGTGTCATAGTACGAGTCCCCGAGTCCTCTGGGAGAAGCACTTCCTGCCTCTAATCCACTTAAGTCTGAATACCTGATGGGGAGGGGTACAGCTCCTTGCCTTGCCAGAGTGTGTCCAGGGTAAAATCTGACATCACAAAGAATTCCTGAAAAACCTGTGAAATCTGCTCTGCTAAGAGTGCTTTCATTCATATGATAAGGGTGCGAGCAGGAAATGAGTATGTCTCCCAAAGTTTCTGCAACCTTCTTTCCTGACAGACTCTGACTCAGACTAAGCCTTCAGATTTCTCTGAAATGTTATCTACTGTTTGATCCTTGCTGCCCTATATTCCTGTGTATTACAACCCAATAAAAGCCCCTAGAGGAGGGGGACTCAATGTTTTTGGGGGTTTTTTGCCTCAGAGAAAATGGCCACTCCGCGCCTTTGTTTCCTGAGAAAATGGCCACCTATCCTCTCCTGGCAGATCATGTCTTGTTTGCTTTCATCAGTGGCGGACGGGGGGACTTGTGGGAAAAGTCACCCCCACAGGCAAG